GGCACAGTGGAGAGTGTGCTTCCTGGAGTCAATGAGGAAGACCAGAGTTCAAATCTGGCTTCAGACACTTACTAATTGTGCTACCCGGGGCAAGTCACTTAACCCCTATTTGCCTCAAGTTTCTTCAACTGATGTGAGGACTTGCTGAACCATTTTCAGTGCTGCTCATCCACCTTTGGGCCCACCTGGCACTCAACTCTCACCAACTTAACGTCTTTCCTATTCCCAGTTTAGCTCAAACACAAAGATACTAACGAACTACAGCAAAATGACATTATTATATTCTAAGCTTCTAGGACTATTGACAAGGATGCCATTTTAGCTCTCCTGGGGCCTGGGTTGTGGGGAATGTGGATCACAATTGTAGACCAGTGAAAAGAATCACATCTTACAACTGTGTCAGTTGTTGGGACTCTACCCAAGAAAGCCATCATTTTTTTCGCCTTCTGTTTAAAAGTAATGCTAGTGTTTTAAGTAGATCATTGCAAAGCTGAGCAGAGTTCAGGAATCAGAGTACACACAGGGCACTGCCTCCCTAATTAGTTCTTGCAGTAGGACTATTAGCCTTGCAATAGCTGTATTCCCGGGAGCTATATTTCTAATTTTGTTTCAGTTTGTTTGTTTTGGGGAGAAAAAAAAATGAAGCCAAAAGCCATGATCAGATAACCTTCTAGACCTTACATTATTCAGCCTTTACAAATCCTTAACTCCTGGCTCAAGGCTATATACCCTAGAGCAAAAGTCTTCAAACTTATGTGATGATGTTAATGAACCCTGTCAGTATTTTTTTTCCCCTGGTGGATATGCTAGGATAAGAGAGTTGTGGATTTTCTCAAGAGGACCTACATAACTATTCCTTCTGGCAGGGGCTAATATCTGTCTTTTAAGAGGGAGTTTGAGAACTTTCATAATTTATGGGTAGAGTAGAATAGGGGAGTATTGAGTTCTGATAGGAGAAGGGTTGGTACTTTTGTAATAGAGAGAAGCTCCATGGTTATCATTGGGAAGGCGTGATGCAATCAATTTTCCCACCCTCTAGTTGATTGATTATCTACTGATTGGGGTCAAGTCACACCACAGTGACCTCTGGGACCTGGACCCCCATGTTGGAGACCAATGACTTAAGGAATACCATATTTACATTGTGTATGAAAACTTAAATACAAAATATTTAAAGAATCAAGAAGCACAGTTGCCTAATGATTAGAGAGATCACTTCATAGTTAGAAAGACATTGGTTCAAATCCTCCCTCTGATACGTACTGGTTGTATAACACTAGTCACTTCACTACATCTCCATACCCCTCACAGCTCTTTAAGACTATAAAAGACCTGCATTGGTAGAAGTTTCCTCGCTTAGATTTTTGAGCACACATGAAGTAATAAGTCCAGAACACAAATGGACAATTTAATGGAAGAGTGCTAGCCTTTTAGTCGAAAGATCTGGCCTCTAATATTGGGTCTGCCACTGATTCACTCTGCAAATTTGGATGTCATTTCATTGTTTCTGTGAAATGAGAGAGTGGGATACACTTTCATTGTTTCTGTGAAATGAGAGAGTGGGATACACCTGTGTAGAGTAGCATCAATGCTGGACCTATTTGAGAAGTTGGTCTGTTATTTACTATCTATGTAACATGAATTCCATTCAATAACTATTTATTGAGCAAGGATTCTTCTAAATGAGTCATTTCCCCTTTATAGTTTTGAATCCTATGATTTGATGACTGGATCTGTGATTCTCAAAATGTGTATTGCAGACTTTATAAGTATGAGATGAAACTCCTTTCAATGCTATGAGATATCCATACCTCCCATCCTTAGATATAGTGGGCTCCCTATTCTTCCTAGCTGGCAATGGGGAAGTCACAATTCTAGTTGAGGAAGCACAAAGTAGCTTCATTCACTGAAAGTCTTGGAGAATGAAAGAAAGAGGAGGTTGAGGGGATTAGAAAGGGAAAAGAGAAATGCCAAGGCTATGTAATGCGTCTAGAGGCCTGGCTGCCCAGGAACTTTTCTTTGGCATCAAGTTCAACGTGAACATCTTATGCTGTAAATCTCCTGACAAATACTGTGCTCTGAGGGGTCAAAACTGAGAACCACAGAAATAGATGAATTTCAAGGACCCTTTTAACCTTAAATTTGATGGTTACATGAAGAAAAATCAAAATGCTTGATATAATCTTTATGTGGAAGTGTTAGCATTCAGAACATAATTTGTTCACTATAAGAATCCAGGATAGAATCTGAGTGCTTAGCCCATAGGACTGTTTTGGAATACATTCTTTGAAAGTCTGGTTATTGTTTTGTTTTACATGTCTATGCATATTCTTACATATCTATCTATCTATCTATATCTATATCTATATCTATATCTATATCTATATCTATATCTATATCTATATCTATATCTATATCTATATCTATATCTATATCTATATCTATATCTATATCTATATCTATATCTACCTATACCTATACCTATACCTATCTATACTATACTATATCTATATCTATATCTATATCTATATCTATATCTATATCTATATCTATATCTATATCTATATCTATATCTATATCTATCTCTATGTATTTATATATGCTTGAAATGTTGAGATAATTATTTAATGGTAAGGGATGAGTTGACATTGGATGGTAACTTTACATGCTACATTTTTTAAAAGTTTCTTGGTATGAAAACTGGTTTAATATTTTACAATATTAAATACTCGTTATCCAGAATTAAGTACAACTAATCAATTCTTGGAATTTGGCTTTCTCATATAGATTATGATTTTTTAAATATACTATTTCTTATTTCTGGAACAAAAGATTTCTTTTCATGAACAATCTTATTTTTCTCATGGCAATGCAGATCCTGGCTCTAATTCCCTTCTGTGGGCAATAGACAGAAAATATGGCAATGACTTACTTCTCTATCTCCCCGTAGACAAATGACAACTCCTAGGCATACTTCCATAGGCCATGTAGACTAAGTAAAAAGCTATGTCTCTGACTATGCTGGCAGGCATAGTATGATGTTTAAAATTAGCTGCCTCCTTGTGGTTCCAGTTCCTACTTTGAATTGCCAGTGGTATCTAAAGCAGCATAATTCAGCGCTAAAGTTGCCAGTGTAAAATTATCTTGTTCCTTTATATTCATAGAATGCTGACATTGGAAAGGTCCTTAGTGGTCATCCAATTTCTAGCCAATTGTAGGTCCAAATCTCACAGCTCCACTACTTTACTCTGTGACCTAAGAAAAGTCACTTTAACCTTTTTTGGCTTGAGTCTCCTCATTTGCAAAATGAGAAGACTAGACTAGATAAGCTCTAAGGTCCTTTCTGACCTTTAGAACCCATGGCCAAGTAATTAGAGTAGCCAGAACATGTCCAGTTACAAGGAACGTATTACTTTGTCACAAAGCAGGTTTTGCCCTTAAAAAAAAAAGATAAATAAATAAAAACAAAAAACCAAATACACCACCTAGTAGAGAAGGGGAAAAATATCTCTACAGCTTTGGGCTTTCCTTTACTGATGTGCAAATCTAAAATCATCTTTAAATTACCTCCTAGCTCTAAAATTTTTATAATTGCTTTAATCTTCCATAATTTTGAGTAGTTCACAGAATCTAAGACTTTTTGAGTTAAAAGGGAACTTAAGAATCATCTAATTCAACCTCATTTTACAGATGAGGAAACTGAAGCCCAGAGAGGTTTATATTACTTAACCAAGGTCACAGACACAGTAAAAGACAGAGCCAGGATTGAAACCAAGGTCCTCTGTCCAGTTACATCACACTGTCTTTTACTTACTTTAATGCTGTGAGTAACCTAAATGAATCAGAATTATCATATCATCAACCATAAGATTATATAATCATAACACTTACATTTAGAGATAGAAGGGACCTTAGCATAGATTTAAAAAAATTAACAATATGTTTACCTGCTTGGAATTTCATATGATTTTGACTTTCAAATCTTTTTAGAAATCCTAGATCATAGTTCTTTGGTTTTTGAAGGATGTATGCTCCTTGTAGGTGCCTACAATGCCTACCTGACACATAGTAAACAATTATTTTTTGTTGATGGGTTGGTTGATTGATTTTCTTCTGTTAAACAAGGCAATTGGACTAGATGACCTTTGAAGTCGATATCCGTCCTAATATTACATGATTTTATGTTCTCTTTTTTTTTTCCTTATTGCCAATTAACACCATTTGTTCCAGCCGAACTTCTTAGTTGAAAGGCAAAAGCATAGTTACCGTCTACTTTTATCTATACCACACTTCTATCTATATTTTTCTGACATGAATAACCTTGGATTTCACAGTTGTCAAGTCCATCAATCAGTCAACAAGTGTTTATTAAGTTCTTATTTTGTCATAAGTAATGGAGATACAAATAGAAACAAAAAGACAGACCTTTACCTTAAGGAGCTTACATTCTAATGGGGGAAAACAAATGAAAGGGGAGCTAAAAAATAGAGGGAGGGGAGGGAAGAGAAGGTAGTAGATAGGGAGTAGGATGGCCAAGCCCATCCAATAAAGGATGACTGATCTGGGCCCTCTCCCAAAATAGAGACTCTGACAAGAACTCACCAATGGGAGAAGTTGTCTACAAACACTGAGTCAGGAGCAGCTGAGGCATGGCAATGTAGTCATGTTTGACTTTGTAACCCCATTTGGAGTTTTCTTGGCAAAGATACTGGGGTAGTTTGCTATTTCCTTTTCCAGCTCATTTTACAGATGAGGAAACTGAGGCAAGCAGGGTTAAGTGACTTGCCCAGGGTCACACAGCTAGTAAATGAATCCTCCTGACTCCAGGCCTGGCATTCTATTCACTGGGCCACCTAGCTGCCTTCACTAAAAATAATATATAAAAAGAATGGCATCACACTTTAAGGAAAATTGAGATGTATTGATTAAAAAATCTCCAACTTTTATAGATGTATGCTTATCTACCTTCCTTTTTAAAATGTCCCTTTTCTCCTTTGCAGCAATGATCCAAGAGCAGGAGCTAAAACCCTGGATGTGGAAGCCTTTGGGAAGCTGGTGCTCAATAGATTTACATTTTTTTTTCCAGACAGAATTCTCTCTTTATTAACTGCAATGCAGCAATAGCACTCAAAAAAGTTTCCTGCAGACACAGAACATTGAGAGTAACCTCCTAATACTCAACAGAAAAGAGATATACTTCCAGGGATGTTAACAGAACTTTAATGCCTACCATTAAGTTGACAGTGATACTTACATGTCCTTATATTTAGACACCAAATCAAAGCACATTATGTGTAAATAAAGTATTGGCTCTGATCTCATTTTTAAGAATTTTATTAAATTCACACGTCACATAGTGTTAACTTTTTACTTTACTTCTTATAATGAGAACTAATTTGAAAAGAAAGATTCAGCCCCATCCACTGTGAGATATCAGTAACAGTCATGGTTCTGTTTATGCACCTCTCCCAACCATCAGCTTTATTAGTTTATTTTTCCATGATAGACATCATGGTATATCCAACTTACAGTGATTCCTAGGATTGGGGGCATATCTTGTTTCTCAAAAGCACCAAAGGTTTATGCAAGACACAGTAGTCAATGACTGTAGTAATCTATTCTTTGATAAATCCAAAGACCCCAGCTTCTGGGATAAGAACTCACTCTTTGACAAAAACTTCTGGGAAAACTGGAAAAGAGTATGGCAGAAACTAGGCATAGATCAAAATCTCATACCATATACCAAAACAAAGTCAAAATGGGCTCATGATTTAGATATGAAGGCTGATACTGTAAGCAAACTGGGAGAACAAGGAATAGTTTACTTCTCAGATTTATGGAGAACAGAAGAATTCTTGACCAAACAGGAGACAGAGAATATTACGAAATACGAAATGAATAACTTTGATTACATTAAATTGAAAACGGTTTTTGCACAAACAAAGGCAATGCAACCAAGATTAGAAGGAAAGCAGAAAATCGGGAAAGAATTTTTACAACCAGTCTTTCTGATAAGGGCCTCATTTCTAAAATATAAAGAGAATTAAGTCAAATTTATAAGAATACAAGTCATTCCTCAATTGATAAGTGGTCAAAGGATATTAACAGGCAGTTCTCAGATGAAAAAAGCCATCGATAGGCTTGTGAAAAAATGCTCTAAATCACTATTGATTAGAGAAATGCAAATCAAAACAACCCTGGGATACCTCGTCACACTTATCAAATTGGCCAATATGACAAAACAGGAAAATGATAAATGTTGGAGAAGATGTGGGAAAATTGGCACACTGATGCCTTGTTGATGGAGTTGTGAAATGATACAACCATTTTGGAGAGCAATTTGGAACTATGCCAAAGGGCTATAAAATTGTGCATACCCTTTGACCCAGCAATAGCATGTCTAGGGCTATACCCCAAAGAGATCATACAAATGGGAAAAGGACTCACATGTGCAAAAATATTTATAGCAGCTCTTTCTGTGGTGTCAAAGAATTGGAAATTGAGAAGATACTGATCAGTTGGGGAATGGCTGAACAAGTTGTGGTGTATGAATGTAATGGAATGCTATAAAAAATTGTGCTATAAGAATGATGAACAGGCTGACTTCAGAAAAACCTGGAAAGACTTGTATGGTCTGATGCTGAATGAAGTGGGCAGAACTAGGAGAACATTGTACACAGTAACAGCCACATTGTGTGATGACTAACTTTCATAGATTTAGCACTTCTCAGCAATACAAGGATCTAAGATATCTCCAAAGGCCTCATGATGGAAAATGCTATCCACATCCAAAGAAACAACCATGGAGTTTGAATGCAGATTGAAGCATATATTTGCTACTTTTTTTCTTCTGTTGTGTTTTGTTTCATCTTTCTAGTGGTTCCTCCTATTGGTTCTAATTCTTACTTACAGCACCACTAATGCAAAAATATGTTTAATAGAAATGTGTATGTATAGCCTATATCAGATTGTGTGACATCTTGGGGTGGGGAAGAGGGGAAGAAAAATTTAAAACTCAAAAGCTTATGGAAGTGATTGTTGATAATTCAAAATAAATTAATTTTAAAAAAAGCACCAAAGGTTGAGCTTCAAATTATGCCTATATGTGACAGAGACATAGCCCCTTTGAAGCCAATAGAGAATTTCACCTAAGGGGAACTTTATGAAGACTCTATAAAGGAAAAAAAAGGACTACCAGTGCTAAGTCTTAGGAATTGCTCTGTTTTCCATGTATGTTCTCTTTATAAATGTCTCACTGGTTTTGTATTTTAAGTTTAAAAATACTATATTTCTGAACTTAACTCATTATCTTTCTCCTAAACCCTCCCCTCTGCCTCACTTGCCTATTACTGTTGAGGAAATATTTTTGACCCCTCAGTATCTATCTCTCACCCTGCTGTTGCCAAGGCTTGTTGATTTCATCACAATATCTTTCAAATACACTTCCCTTTCTCCTCTAATATTGCCATCACCCTGGTGTTTCACTTCATCTTCTTATGTTTGGACTACTGTAATAGAATTTCCATAATGTCCTTGTGTATGCAAGGTGAAGTGTGTGTGTGTGTGTGTGTGTGTGTGTGTGTGTGTGTGTGTTTTGTACTCTCTGCTCTTACTATGTGCCTTCTTAGGTAAATACTCCCTCTAAAAAGCTAATTGAAATCTACTTGACTGATATTAATTGTAAGCCAGTGGTGGCTTGTAAGAGTGCTAGAAACCCCAGTCCCTCTGGGTTATCCCTAGAATCTTGAAGAGAGAGTAGATTTGCCCTAAAACTTTGAGTGGGAGTAAAGAAAGTAACCCCAGAAAGGGTGCTACATCTGGATTAATTGTAAGTATCATGCATTCATAAAGAACAGCCTTTAGGTTATATTTCAGTAGACCTAAGGAAGTCCATGAACTTGGAAAAGAAATGAAACAGAGTCCATGATCCACATGTGACTATCACTATTTTGCAAATGTGGATTTAGGGATCCTAGGCTCTTGAGACCCCAAAGGGGTGGCTTTTATGGAGGAGCAGAAGCAGTTCTAAAACAGGAATTAGAAAAGGTGAGAGAAAGGATATGTATGCATGTTTATACCTCTGATTTGTTGCTTCAGTCTTCCAGACTCTTTGTGACCCCATTTGGGGTTTTCTTGGCAAAGATACTAGAATGGTTTGCCATTTCCTTCTCCAGCCCATTTTATAGATGAGGAAACTGAGGCAAACAGGGCTAAATGACTTGCCTAGCTGGTAAGTATCTGAAGCTGGATTTGAACTTAGGTCTTTCTAACTCCAGGTCTGGGACTCCATCCACTACGCCACCTAGTGGCCCACCTCTGGTTTAGTATTCTATGAAATCAAACCAAAAACCTTGGCCTGTAGTTGGAAGTAGTTGATTGCTCATATTAGTTCTCTTATTCAGGTCTTTACCTCAGCTTTAGTGGGTTGCCTGAGGCTGAGGAATATTAAGTTGTCCACAGTCACATTGCTGGTAAATACCACACTTGAACCCACCTCCTCATCCCAACACAATCCATTATGAAACATGTTATTTTTTATTCTACCATATTGGAAACAGTGTTTTTGAGTTCCACATCCTTTAGCTTTTGCAGATTTTCAGGTCTGTCAATGCAGTGTTTGTCAATTTGCTAATGGCTGCTTGCTTACTAGGAAGAGCCTGAAGAAATCAGATTTTCAGACTGTCGATTTCTATGTAGCTGTTCTCTCCTTGGTGAGGCTTGACATGACCTTATCATTACGCATACCTTCTAGTGACCATTTTTTTTTCTTTGATAAGGACTTAATGAACTCTGGACAAGAAAAAGCATACTGAATACAAGAGGCATAGTTTACTAAATAAAATGCAGACAGTAGACAGGACTCTTGAAAAGTTTCTCTTCTTGACTGACAAAAAAAAATGCAATTAGAAAAGGCTTCAGGAAACAAAAATAATGTTTTTTATCATCTTAGTGGATTTCCATTTATGAAATGACCCTTATTAATTAGAAATTAAAGCAAAGATATTAGAAAATTCTTCAATTAAATAATGATAGACTCAGAGCTGGAAGGGATCCCAGGGGTTATCTAGACCAGGGGATAGCAAATGACAGCCATCAGGCCAAATCTAGTCTGCTGTCTGCTTTTTTATAGCCAGTGAGCTAAGACTATTTTTTTTCCATTTTAAAATGAAGTCTGGTTCTATTTGAAAATGTGAAAACCATTTTTACCTCAGGCCAAATAAAAATAGGCAGTAGGCTAGTTGCTGACCCCTGATCTAGACCAGCCCTTCATTTTATGAATGAGTAAACTGAGGTACAGAGAGGTTAAGTGATTTGCCCAAGGTCACACTGATAGTACCACAGGAAGGATTTGAAACTGGGTTCCCTGAGTCCAGAACCAGTGCTTCTTCCAAGAAGAGAGTTTCATTGGTATAGATAACTCATATCTACAAATATAGGGATAGGGACTGGATCTGTGTTTTCATTGGTCTAGAGGACTCCCTCTATCAATTCAGGTAAGGACATTCTCTGCAGTCTATAGTTTCAGAGAATTCTCTGTAGCAATGGTTTCATGCTCAAATAGAAATGGAGTAGATCCTTGTCACTACATATTGACTTTGAAAACCACACACTAACATCATCTATCTTTTACTGTGCTTTTATTTATTTTGTTAAATATTTTCCAATTTTGTTTTAATCTGGTTCCACTTCACTATTCTGGACCCTAGGATGTGTATTTGACTTCTCAGGTCTAGAGCCATAAGAGGTTAAACAGTCTGCCTAGGGTCACTCACTCCAGTGTTAAGAAACAATTTTTTCTTAAATCTGAGGCTGGCTCTTTATCCACTATCTATGCTATTTCTCATCCATTTTATGTAGTTCTCTGAGGTTTACAGAGAATTTACATTTTCTCATAGCAGAGATGTGAAGTAGACAGTGCTATTTCATTATGTCTTTCTTATAAAGATAGAAATTGGACCTTAGAAAGATTAGGATTTGTCAAAATTAACAGCTCTAAATAACAGTAAGGTTCACAATGGATCCCAGGCAGCGGTATGCTGGAGCCACTTCTTACTGGCTCATGAAACATATCATTAAATTTTCAATGTATTCACAGCATGGAAATTGGCAAATGCTATAAATCAAGGCTTGATTTATTGTTTTATTTAGTATCTAGACAAGAAAATGATGGAAAAAAGGTTATTAATGCATATTATACTTGAAAGTGTGCACATTTTTCTCCCTGGAGAGCTGGTGGTTAAACATTTACCAGCACAATGTTGAACCCAAATCTTCTGGTTTGAGGCTGCCTTGATTCAACCCTGATACTCAAAGAT